AAGAGTTTCATTTTTTGCCATGAAAATTTTAAGCATAAATGTGAATCCATATGTTTGCTAGTGTATTCCTCACTGTAACTGGCTCTGATGCTATTTCTTTAGATAGAAACTTATTTCCTTTTTATAAAAAGGCTAATACCTATTGTCTTTGAAATCTAAATGGTATGATTTGGTGAGAGTAAAAAATAAAGAAAATAAAATACAAAGAAAACAAAGAAAAATATGGAAATCTTTGACATCTGATAATAGACATTTAGTTTTTAAAGAGTACAAATAAGACCCAGGTTTGGAACAACACAGAACTGAGAAAGTCTAGCAGCATCTGGCAGTTGTGAGAACATAAAGTTCTCAATTTTAAAGTATTTGATTTTCAACAATCTCATTATGTTTCTTAAAATGTTCACTAAAAGACTTTAGCACAAAAATTCATGTTTCTACAGGTTGTCTTAAAGAAAACAAAAGAAGAGATGTATGCTCATTTATGGCCTGCATGCAATAAAGTCATGTGATCTGATAAAAATGAAGTATCTATGAGAATGAACTCAGGGTTCAGGGGAGACCTGGAGGGATCAGGGGTGACAGGCAGCCAGAGACAAAAATAGCAGGGATTCATGGCTAGGGAAGTATGGAGGAGCCACTGGGGCATGGCTAGGAGCATGCACTTTTTTTTTGTGAATGGAGTTCTTCAATGATGGTTGCATTGTTGCATTTGAGTATGTCCTCCACCTTTACTAATGTCTTCTCACCTTTGCTAATAAAGGCTCAGAGGTCAGGCTCCTTATTTATGGGACCCTTTAAATAGCTTCCGTAATTTGTGACATTTTAGAACCCTGTACCTCAATCTTAGACTTTGGAAACATTCCACTAGTTCAACCCCCCCCCTTTTTTTTTTACTTGCAACACTTCTGATGTGATGCTTTAAAACTATCGAAATATAAAAGCATTCTCTATGATACCATGATAAATTAATTACAGATAAATCAGATAATTAATTAAAACAAGACATGCATTTTTCCCTACTAGGAGACAGATGACAAAATTTCAATTATTCCTTTGTCATTTGTGGGAAAGACTTAAATTTCAGGTTGAATCCGTTCTACCTCTCAGTTTTTATACTGTAAAGGAATAAACAATTCTTTACTGTAGATTACAAAATTACAACCAAAGCAATACAACAGAAGGTTGTTTTGGGGTCTTTTGCATTTTAGCTTTTGTTGTATGGCACTCAGAATGAAAGGACTTCTATTATTTGGACAGACTTCAGGAATATTCTTCAATCACATGCCCCACCTTCTTGACTCAAGGTCTCTTTAATTTCTCATATCATTTTAATGGTGGCACTGGTTTTCACAACTCAAGTATTACTATTCAAGCATCCAGACTTAGTGTAAATTGTTAGAGAATGAAGTTGGGGGTGGGTGGCCTTAAGTTGATTTCATTTCTTTTCCTATTCTATAATAAAATACTCAGAAAAAAGTAATGTAGGGAAGATGATTTCTTTAGTTCACAGTTCCAGCTCTCATGGGAGGAAAGCAAAGGCAGCAGAAGCTTGAAGAAAATGGTCACTTTGCCTCCATGGTCAACAAACAGAGGGTATCTGGGCATTGGTGAACCATGTCTTTAGTTCCAGCACTCAGGAAGCAGAGGCAGGTGGATCTCTGTGCATTTGAGGACAGCCTTGTCTACAGAGATAGTTCCAGGACAGGCTTCAAAACTACATAGAAAAACCCTGTCTCAAAAAAAAAAAAAAAAAAAAAAAAAAAAAAACAAAAACAAAAACAAAACTATTCCTTCACAGGCAAGAATAGAATAGAAGCTTGTTACATAGTGATTTTCTTTTAATTGAAACATACCCCCTTGCAGGTGGAAGAAGGTTCACATGACTCAAGAAGGAACAATCTTAGGTGTCCCTGAGAACTGAAAATAACAATGCACAAGGCCCCGGGAGCATTCAACAAGTACTGGAAAGAAAAGCCTGTCTGATGTGGGAAGGCAGAGGCTGGATTGCTGAGCCAGAGGCCAGCCTGATCTAACCATTGAAAGCAGAAAGTTGTTGAAGATATAATTGAAAAGGGGGGGCATGTTCTAGCCCCAGTAAGCAGCAAAATTTGACAGCTTTGTCCACATGGTTCTGGAGTTAACGATAGAATATAGAGGTTATAGAATCTTCCTCTGTGACTAAGGAACGCCTTTGAAGCCAGGAGTGTCACGAGTGTCCCCGAATTAAGTCCTGGTGAGGCCATTGTGTGAAGCTGTGAAACTGAAGTCTAAATTTCTTTGGAGAACCCAAGACATTGGAGATGCCTGCTAAGGAGAGCTGCTAACAGGAAGTGGAACAAGCCCAAACAAAACAAGTAAGTTGCTTGCAACAAAGGTGAAAGGAGCTGGAGATCTGAAGAGCACTTTGGCATCAGACATGGAGCTGCAGAATTGCAGTTTGCCAAGCTGGTTTGTGGTCTTCCTCTGGTTCAATATTTCCTCACTATACTCCCTTCCCTATGTTTTGGAATGGTAATGTATATCTTGTGCCACTGTATATTGGAAGTATGTGATCTTTTCTTTTTTGTATTGTTTTATAGGGGATTATGGTTAAGAGAGTACATGATTCTCAGAACAGACTAAACATTGTTGAGACTGTGATATACTATGGGGACGCTAGAAGTTGGACAAACTGTATTTGTCATTACAATGTTACAAGCTTATGGGGGCCAGGGAGTAGAATATTATAGTTTGAATGTAATTGGCCCCCATAAGCACATAGGGAGTAGCACTATTAGGGGGTGTGGCTTTGTTGTATTGTGACCTTGTTGGAAGTGTGTCACTGTGAAGACAGGCTTTGAGGTCTCATATATGCTCAAGATATGCCCAGTGAGACAGAATAGTTCTTGTTGCCTTAAGGCTGCAGGAGTCTCAGCTTCTCCAGCACTATGTCTGCATGCATGCTGCCATGTCCCACCATGATGAAAATGGACTGAACCTCTGAAAATGTAAGCTGCCCCAATTAAATGATTTCCTTTAAAAAATTTGCCATGGTCATGATGTCTCTTCATAACATTAGAAACCCTAACTAAGTCAGGCAGTGGTTGTGCACATCTTTATTCACAGCACCCGGGAGACAGAGGCAGGCAGATCTCTATGAGTTTGAGAACAGCCTGGTCTACAAAGTGAGTTTCAGAACAGCTGGAATTGTTACACAGAGAAACCCTGTATTGAAAAACAAAAACAAACAAGCAAAAAGAAACCCTAACTAAGCCAACACCCTACTTCAAGGCTCAGCGATCTTCTCTGGTGTGGGGAGAGTAAAAAATGTAAGAGTCACAGGTAGGGGATGACTTTAAGAAAGCAAGATTTTTTTGGACACAGCAAGACAATTGCACATATGAACTCACAGTGATTGTAAAAGCATGCAAATGCAGGTCAAAAAAATAATCCCAGCATGGAAAAGAGAAAGTGAGTACGAAATCCCATCTCTAGCTGAGGCAATATTGTCATTTGATAGCTTCTGGGAGAGGCAGAGCCATAGTTTCATTCAATTATGTGACCCCTAACAGGTTAACCACACTCTCTAGGGGCATTTCTAAGAGCAGCTGACTAATACAAACTGGAATCAGTGGGTTTAAAAAGAGACTGAGAAAGAGAAAGAAAACAAGATAGAGAAAGGAATGAAAGAGTTAGAAATAGAGATGATAGAAATGGAGATTATATATATATATATATATATATATATATATATATATATATACACACACACACACACACATACACACCTGTGTGTGTGTGTGTGTGTGTGTGTGTGTGTGAAGAGATGATAGAGCTACAAATGATAGAGATAGCAAGGTGGATATCTATTTTTTCTCTCTCTCTCTATATATATAGGTATAATAGAGGTATTGTTAGATAGATAGAACATAAAGATGGGTAGGTAGGGATGTGTTGGAGTGATTGTAGGAGGAGAATGAATATGATTAGAATACATTGCATGGATTTTTATAAGATTAAATGAAGCATTATTAAAGAAATACAATGTACACCAGGTTTTTTTTAAGACAAAGAAAATAGCATTTTATTTCCAATACTGTGATTCAAAATTAAATCCCCAAGAAGTCCACTGCCATTGTTGCAGCTGAGACAGTAAACAGCACATGTTGAGATGTGCTAGCAGCCCCTGTAGAGATTTACCATCTTTCCTTCCTCACACGACAATTTTTTCTTTTACATTTCTTGTATAACTTGACCAAAATTAAACTATTGTGACACCCATCTTTCTAGAATTGCCCTGAACTCCATACCTGGTTTTGCATGGACTCTGTGAGCCTCATTTGGCATTCCTCTGTCCCGCCTATGAAGCAGTGCTCTTCCCTCATCGCTCCTTCTGTCCCCTTTGAACAGTTTTCCTACCACTGTGACCTCTACCTGGGACCTTCCTTTCAAAGTGCATTTCTGCCTTGGCCTATTTTTCCCTCCCTCTTCCAATTTTGCTGTGTTTACACTCCCTGTACTCGGTATTTCCAACACCTATATTTGATCTTTCAGATCCCGGATATCAGCTTATTTTTATGCTACCTCCAGCAGAGGTGTTCATATCATTTGTATTTTAAAAGCAATGTCCATAGACTTTAATCTTCAAAGGACTGGAGATGTCACATTTTATTAGTAAATATAGATTATTGTGGTTGGTTTTCTAGGAAGGGTGTATTCCTCATGCTCTTAAAATGCGATGTTAAGATCAAATGACCTTAGTGTACTATAGAGGCTATTGTGCATAGGAAGGATAGAGCCCTATAGATTCTTTGTGGTGATACTGAAAGTGGCATTTTCATGTTGCTAACGTAAGAAGTTGTTTTCATAATGGAATCTTATGGACATGTAAATGTGCTGAACTTGTTAGAGGAAATGTTGCAACCTGGCATTTATTTCCCTATAGAAATTATTAACAGACATGCTAATTCATAGGAATTTTGCGCGCAGCTTATTTCTCTTCCACTGGTATAGTCACTTACCTGTGATGGCCAATTGAGTCACAAAGAAGGTCATTCTGGACTTTCTTTTCCTTCTCCACGTAGAGAACAGCACAACAGAGTTTCCCACAATGGTGAAAATAAACAGGACCCACAGGGTTATAAGCTGTTCTGTCTGCAAGAAACAAAGCAGCTTGAAACAGAGCAGGTAAAGGGCCAGGTGTTTCTCAGGAAGGATGGTAAAGGCACCTGCACTTGGAATTGAACATGGTTTTCTGGATCCTTCATTACTCCCTTCCCTACCCCAGCCCTGGGAAACTTGACTCCTTTTTATAAGCAGTGGAGTAAATTGATGCAAACAAAAATTCTTCTTTGACCAAGTAATTTTAACTCTGTGTGAAAAAGAACACTTCAGTCACACAGATGTGAAAAGAAAGTGTTTAAAGATAATAAGCTAGACAAGTAAACCAAATTCTTCAATTTGGTGAACTATTGTTTAGCTATCAAAGGTAAAGTGATGAAGACTTGGTAGTTACATTAAAAATACTCGTAGTACAATACTTAAGTGGCAAAACATAATAAAATTGCATATTGGGTATGATTACAACTTTGCAAAATTATACACATAGGGAAAGAAATAAAGAGCACTAAAATGTTAACAGTGGTTATTTTAGGTAGTATGATTATGGGTTATCTCTCTCTTTTTCCTTTGACAAATTTCATAAGATGGTAATATTAAGTTCTGCTGAATAATGTATAATTAATAAAAAGAAGAGCAGGGATGCCACTCACTTAAAATGCCAAGTCCCACAGAAGGTATTTTTCGTGATTACTTCAAATGGAACTTTTTATCTGCTTGACATACATAGCACAGAATAAACAGGTAGACTGCAATAGGCTAGGCTCAAGGTGAGATATAGTGCAAGGCTTGCGAGGAAAGAATGTGGGCCCAAAGGAATCAATTGGAAGACAGAAAGCAAAACCAAAACAGCCCACATGGTCCTCCAGGTGAGATCATTTTAAGAGTGGACCAGAGCAGTATTGCAGCCTAAGAGTATAAGAATCCCAAGTACCAATTAAATTCTGTGTGACAGGTAACTAGGTTCTGGAACTCTGTTGCTTGGCCAAGCATGAGTCTGAGATGTTGAAGGCAAGCGTTTCTATCAATGTGATTAGCCTCCACTGTCAGTTGATTTTAAGTGAAGGGGATTTTCCTCCCCAATGTGGGCAGACCTTGTGCAGTGAGTGCAATGGGATCATGTACTAACAAACTGATAAAGATATCACTTCATCAGTGTATTTAGTATATCTAACACATTAATCATCATGGTAGCCTAGTCAACTTTAACTGTGTTGTAAACACTCACATTAAGTCACTGTCCTACACAATTATCTAACATAAAATCTATTTTATGAGTAAGTGTTAAGTATCATAGACTTTTTAAAAAATCATAGCAAACAATTGTTTCCTTTCATGACAGTGTGGCTCACTGGTCACCATGCTTCCTGTTCCCACCCAGCATCATAAAGGAGAATCAAACTGCACATTACTAGCTGAGGGAAACAATTTCATATTCAAAATTCAAATCCATTTATAGAGCTGGGGATTTGGCTCAATGGTTAAGTGCTTGCTTAGCCTTGACAGCTGTGGGTTGTAGCCTTAGAACCACACACACACACACACACACACACACACACACACACACAAATGTATTGAGTGCATGTTTTTTTTTAATATTCCTATAAAGTAAAAACCTCATGAGTTGAAACATCAACAAGCTCCCCCACCCCACCCCATACACCTTATAATCCTGTCACAGAAGAACCTTAGCTGGTATTCTCTGTGCATGCCAAGCTAATACCATTTCCTGCTTAACATAGAAATTAATTCTTAGTTATGTGATAACAGAACTTTTTAAAGAATCTAGGACAATACAGACCATATCCTTTTTGGCTGCCTTTCCATTTTAAAAAGTCCATATTCCAAGGTAAATACATTAAAATATTTTTTACTGTTGATTAATACACAAAACATTAGGTTCATTATGACATTTTCAAATGAAATGTATTTTTTGTTGAGTCCTCTCCTCCCATCCCCTCCATTTCCCTGACCCCACATTTACCCCTCCTTCCCCAGGCACCTGCTTCCCATTGTCATGTCTGTCACCATGCACAAAACTCAAGTCCAAATGGATCAAACACCTCAACATCAATCCAGCCACATTGAACCTCTTAAAAGAGAAAGTAGGAGGTACCCTTAAACAAATTGGTATAGGAGACCGCTTCCTGAACATAACTCCAGGAGCACAGACACTGAGAGAAACAATTAATAAATGGGACCTCTTCAAACTTAGAAGCTTCTGTAAGGCAAAGGACAAAGTCGACAAGACTAAACTTGGAAAAGATTTTCACCGATCCTGTATCCGACAAAGCGCTAATCTCCAAAATATACAAAGAACTCAAGAAACTAGTCAACAAAACACCAAATAACCCTATTAAAAAATGTGGTATATAACTGAAGAAAGAATACTCAATAGAGTAAATCAAAAAGGCTGAAAGACACTTAAGAAAGTGCTCCACATCCTTAGCTATCAGGGAAATGCAAATCAAAACAACTTTGAGATACCATCTTACTCCTGCCAGAATGGCTAAAATTAGAAACACCAATGATGATACTCATGCTGGAGAGGATATGGAGAAAGGGGAACACTCCTCCACTGCTGGTGGGAGTGCAAACTCGTACAGCCATTTTGGGGATCAGTATGGCAGTTCCTCAGGAAAATGAGAATTAGTTTACCACAGGACCCGGCAATCCCCCTCTTAGGCATATACCCAAATGATCCACATCCATGCAACAAAGACATCTGTTCAACTATGTTTATAGCAGCTCTATTTGTAATAGCAAGAACCTGGAAGCAACCTAGATGCCCCTCAATTGAAGAATGGATAATGAAGATGTGGCACATCTACACAATAGAATACTACTCTGCAGGAAAAAATAATGGTATCTTGAAATTCGCAGGCAAGTGGATGGTACTTGAAGAAACCATCCTGAATGAGGTAATCCAGTCACAAAAAGAGGAACATAGTATGTACTCACTCATATATGGATTTTAGACCGAGATCAAAGGATCACTAGCCTATAATTCACACCAGCAGAGGAACAAGGATACAAGGTGTATTCTAAGAGAGTCATATAAAGTCCCTCACAGAACCGGGAAGGGACAAGTCCCCCAGAGCACAGGGGAAGTGGGGGGTGCAGTGAATGGAGAAAGAAGTAGGAGAAAGCGAGGGGGAGGAGAGGAAAACATGTGGGACTAGGAAGATTGAGCCCGGTTAGGAATAGAAGATAGGAGAGAGGTAGAGAGAGACAGACAGACAGACAGACAGACAGAGAGAGAGAGAGAGAGAACATAAAAGAGGGTACCAATATTGATTTGAAGATAAAATTGAACACAAAGAAAGGTCTAGAGACCTATAAGACTGGAGCCAACTAACAATTTGAGCTTCCGGGGAAAGGCTACCATAAATGCCCTTCCCCGATAGTGAGATCAACAAGTAACTTATCCATGGAGCCCTCATTTAATACCTGTTGTAAACAGGAGCAAACACCCATACATGAACACTGAGTCGAACTAGAACTCAGATGCAGACGGAGAGGACAACACCAGGCGGCAGAAACACATAGAGACAGTTTACCTGAACAAGGAGGAGCTAACAGCCACCAGACTAATAGCTGGGAAGCCAGCATGGGACTGACTCAGGCCCCCCTGAATATGAGTCTCAGCCAGAAGGACTGAGCAGTCTAAGGGACCTCAGACAGTGGAACCAGGATGCATCGCTGGTGCACAAAAGGACCTTGCGGACACATCCCCCATGGAGGGATAACTGCCTTAACCTAGAGACAGGAGAGAAGCCTTAGTCCCTACTTCACATGACCTGTCAGATCTACATGACCCCAACTGGATGACATTCCCCTACATATGGAATTGGGGTGGGGGGATGGGAGGGGAGGGTGGTTAGGGTGCATGTGAGAGGGCAGAGAGGGTAAAAGTGAGGGAGGGAGGGAGGGGAGGAGGGAGGGAGAGGGAACTGTGATCGACATGTAAAATAATAAATTAAATAAAAATAAATAAAGAAAGAAAGAACACTCCAAGTTTTAATTAGAAAAAAAGAAAATATTTAGTAAAATCTTTTCTTGGGGATAATTGGACAGAATGACAGATAAGATTGCTTCAGCTATAAAAGAGGTTGCTTTCAAATTGTCTAAGTTAGGGTTACTTCAACTGGAAAGAAACACTATGACCAAAGCAACTTGGGGCAGAACCAGTTTATTCATCTTATGCTTGCACACAGTTCATCATCAAAGGCCAGACAGGAATGACAACAGGGCAGAAACTTGGAAGCAGGAGCTGATGTAGAGGCTTTGGAGAGGTACTGCTTACTGGAATGGTTAGTATTGCTTGAGCACTCTGATTTTATTGAACCATCCCCCCCCCCCCCGCCACTTCCAGTCCAAGAATAACACCACTCACAATGGTCTGGGCTTTTCACCACCAGTCACTAAATAGGAATACCACTTTGCCTGTATTGTGTCTGAGGGCTGTTCTGTAATAAATATTATAAAAAAAAAACTTACTTTATATATAGCAAGGTAAACTATACTGGGATGCTTTTCTATTGTTTTTCAATTCATTTATTTGTGTATCTAATAATTAAAACTTTATTATAAAGAATTTGCAAATAAAGTCTGTTACACATTGAAATTAGGTAGATCCAAAGCCCAAATACCTTAATGAACTTCTATCCAGTTAGAGTGGCCATTCAGAAGCAGGGAGGCTTCACATGGGATTTTACATTCTCACTGTAATAATATACTTTCTTATGGTTTTGGTTTTTTATGCTTTTTCTAAAATAAATGTTCTCATTATTTAGCCCTAGAATTCAGTATGTAGATCATGCGGTCTTGACCCATAGAGATCTGCCTGTCTCCACCATTCCAATGCTGGGGCTAAAGGCATGCCCCACCACTCCCAGAGTTAGGATAATGTAGTTTTAAACAGAACAACAAGGAATGGTTTCAGGATACAGAGTCCCCCTATCCAGAATATTTTTTAAAAATTACTTTTCCTAAGTTGGTCAGTGCAAGAAATGTACTCAGTGACTAGTTGTGTC